TGCGTTCCCCGAAGTAGACGCCGTGCAGATGCGTAAAACACCCAGTTGATACGTGATAGCCCCGGTGCTTGTAGCAGTAGTCACCAAGTATGACAGCGAAAATGAAAGGCTGCAGGCAACTACTAGGCAAATCCTAAACCCCAAATCCTAAACCCTAAACCCCAAACCCCTAAACCCACAGACGGCCCCAGGGATCCCCCCTTCTCCACTTGTATCGTCGCCAAGAGCACTGACTTATGTTCAGGAGTGGCCATCATTGGGGACTCCTCATCCATCATGCATGAAGCGAAGAAGCAAGAGTCAAATTCGCCCCGAAAGATGCACCAAACCATTAGGGTTTAGGGTTTCCTAAACCCAATGTGTTTTCCGAACATTTGCAGGATGAGGAAATAGATTCGGCGACTGGAGTTCTGGAAACTAGCACGAATGAGGTAATTAGGGCATGGCATGCTTTCGGATGTTGAGACTGAGATGCAGGATCTGTTGGGCTCGGGATCAAGGAAGTCTACTCTGCGCAACGCCTACAGCCAGCCGCCGCCGCATGCCACCGCTCAACCTCAGCCGATCGGCAGGCAGATTTGTTAGGGGTTTGGGTTCCATTTGTAGTACAATTATAATAACAAAAACCAAAGGAATAATATTGCTAATTACTTAGGCTTCTAGAATAGTATCCCATGTTGGCTTGAAGCAATGACAGTGGCAGTGACACTGAAGCTATGACAGGTGATGTCTATCCATGCAGAGCAAAGCAAGACTACGACGCACTCGGTCGCAGTAGTCGTCGTCGCTGCAAGACTAGCAGGAAAAGAATGCAAGTCTCACTTAACGACACCCTTTGTTTGGGAATCGGGCATCACCTCCAGTCTTACCTCCCTAAACCCTAAACCCTAAACCCTAAACCCTGAAAAATCCTGACAAGACACGGTCTTCAGCTGAATTGTTCCGCGAAGCACCCTCCACCAACCCCAAACCCAAAACCTCAACCTGGTATCCAGCATACAACGTCCTATGGCATATGCATATATACACACAATGCGCACATATATGTATATATACACATGCATACATACATACATACATACTTACTTACATACATACATACAGACATACATACATACATACTTACATACATACATACAGACAGACATACATACAAACATACATGCATGCATACATACATACATAAGGTTATATATATATATACACATACCTACAAACACAAAACCAAAATTCCTGAACCCTTCACCCCCCTGCCCCCTTCTCAAGTCTGCTCATGCAGTCCCAGGGGCGCATCGGGCAGGTCCTCAGACTCTTGGGGCTAGAGATGGGGGATTTCAACAGGAAGAACTCTGATTTCAGGTGTTCACTTGGATATTAGGGCTTCTAGGGCTTAAAAACTTCGTTTGAGGGTCCAGCCTGGGTTTAGGGGTGGAGGGCTTGCAGGGCCTAGGGTTTTGTGTTTAGGGTCGTTGTAAAGCTCTGGGATTGTTCCCATCATTTCTTTATCAGTACGTTGCGAGCGCATACCAGGAGTGAGTGCCATTTTCCTGGACTATGAGGTTTATGGGTAGTTATAAGTAAGTATATAACGGTATATACTAAGCTTGCAATTTACCATGGGGACTTGACAAGTACTACCCACACTCCTTTCAAATCTCTGCGTTTCCCTCGTACTATGATATGCCCCTCGTTTTCAGGAAGAAAACCTCTTAAACCCGCCTTGAAAAAGTTAGACCTACAAAACTACACTATTCTAACTACGAAAGGCCCCTAAACCCTAAACCGTATTTCTGCTGCCAGAGCTCCCTCTGCTTCTCCTCGAGCCTCGTGGCCCGGAGGATCTCATTGACACAACGCTTCGCTCGATCGCCCTGGGCGCCTGTGACACCAGTTCAGGGTTTGTCGGGCTTTAGGGTTTAGGGTCTGAGGTTTCGGGTTTAGGGTTTAGGAAGGTTTCGCCCATCTCAGCCTCACCACCATCATTCTCAGCATCGCTACCTATGCCTCCTAAACCCTAAACTTACCCTCCATCTGCCTATGAACATTGCTGCATCCCAAATCATCCCAATCTATGCCCAGAAGCAAGTTGTACCTGACGGCGTGTGTATGCTGCATGCATGCCACATGCATGTCCACAAGGAGGGAGGGCTGGACGGCTGGATGAATGCACCTACGGATGGAGGGATGTTCGGAGACGTATACAAAGCTAAGCAATCGGGGGATGAGGTACAGTCAAGCACTGGCAGAAAACAGGAGGAGCTTCCCTGGTTTTGAACACCCTTCGCCACACCTCGCACATAGGCAAAAAAGAGCAAATTCTCCGCAACGGTCAGATCACCTCGGATGGTCGGATTCGCAGACTCAGATAGCCTTTCTTGTGTCAAGCAAGCTGGACTACTGAAGGTCCCATCGCAGAGCCAAGGGGCCGTTGATCACCGTGTCCTGCCACCGGGAGCCAGGTTTCACCGCCCCCGACTTTGTTAAAGCAAAGGGACCTCTAAATGCCGGGATCCAACTTGTCCTTCTGAGAAAGAACGCTACTTTGGGATGGGCCACGATGCGACAAGTTCTGCTGGATCGAAAATACAAAGCTTGCTTGTTCTCAAAGACCGGACCCTGAAGCGAACCTACCATACCAGCTGGGAACATGTCGCATAGCAGCTTCGGGAAATCCCTTGCTGCAGAGACACAGCCTGAGAGATCCTTCAAGATCTTTCGCAATCCATCTCCAGAAACACACAGGTAGTTCTCTAAATGAGGATCCCTTTTTAGGCCCCAAGTATAGTACGGCACCCTGATTTTAAAAAAAAAAAACCTAAGAGGGACCCTAAATTAGAGAAGTACCCACACAGCATCCGGCGGGTGCCTGCGGGCAGAGGCCTATGCAGGCCCCACCCGCCTCAGCACCAATACTCACGGAACCTGCATGGTGTAGGGATGTGTAGGGTTTGATTAAAGTAACTATAGTAGAATGTACCCCAAAACCCTATTCTCAATGTTAAGGCCCCGATATTACTGGGGATTAGGGCCCTAAACCCTAAACCCTGGTTTAACTTTAAGGGCTTGCTTAGATATGAGCATGTCGGGCTTTTGAGCTCTGGTGCAGATGCACAGGGTGTAGATGTTGGCATATGGGGGCTTTCCGTCCTAATGTAATCGTAATGGAATATCCTATTTTAAATTGTAGGATCCAGAAGGGACACTAATATAACCGTAAACATACCCCAAAAAGTAGGATCCGTATGATAAGGACCCCAAAACAAGGTAACCCTTATTTTCGGAAACTCTCATGTTGGGCTTCGCTGCTCAGCCAATGCACATGGCAGGAACGCCGCGGCAGATGGAATGGGTTTTCTGTTCGAGCGAATTTTCCCTCCCGCCTAAAGGGGTCTTATATGGTTTAACACTCACAGAGGGCTGAGGGTTTCCTAAAAGAGCTTTCGAAGCTTTTTGCGACGTCGTGCTTCCTTGAGATCGGCATCCTGTTTTTGGGGCTTCCGTAGAGGACGTGTCCGATGGAAGATCCACACAAAGCGTTCCTGTTTTTCTGAAGCTTCGAAAACCCTTCAACCCAAAGATCCTGCCTTTTTGTGGGCCCTCCTCGCCAGTGATGCATCCTGGGCTGAAGGCATCAGGATGCAATGAGCCGCCAACTGAATCTGTCTTGCATCCCCTGTTTGCTTCCAGCCTGCACGATCCTCTGCTGGGAAGCAAGCCCCAAACCTAAACTCGACTCTATTCGGGAACCCAAAAGACCCATCTTTCCAAGTATTCAGGCCAGTACTTATGCAAACCTTCAAAACCTCTGAAACCAAAGCAAAAAAAACAGTACTGAAAACAGCAAGGCTGAGCAAGCTGAAGAGCGGATGGCCGTGGTCTTGCCCGCGCCGTTTGGCCCCAGCAGCCCCAGTGTCTCGCCCCGATCGATCTTGAAGCTCACCTGATCAACGGGGCTTTTTGGCTAGGTTCAACGTTCAGGGTTCCGAGTTCAGGGCCTACGATTCAGGGTCAGCATATAAGCACCATCATTAGACGTAGCTCCAAGGGCTTAGGGTTCAACGCTTGCGGTTTGAGGCTTTGCGTTGAATCAGCCTGTCAGCACAAAGCTAGCTCCGTTCACGAACTGCTCGAATTGCCGATTGCGTCGGATAGTCACGCTGACATCCCACCACCAGCCCGCCAAACCCTACACCCCCGTCAAGTCACCAAACTCGACGCCGAGTGTAGGATCAAGCTTTATTTAATTTAAAAAGCGGCCTTATTAATTAGAATAGGGTTTTGGGGCCCATTATACTATAATTATAACAAGGAGCCCCCAAAATAGTCCAGATTATTTAGGCCCTATGTTAGGCAGGTTGGAAGCCTCACGATGTCTTCTCAGCAACAGCAATGCACATACCCTCTCACGAATGTACAACAATCGATTACATGAGGTACACCTACGATCCATGGTTGGTATGCGGGTGCAATTGTTTTCGATATTCGAATGCACATAGACATGGGAAATATGCGGGTTTACAATTCAACCAATTCAACAGATTCTTGCAGCCAAAGCAACACCGTGAAGCGTGAAAGTTTCTGGTGACGATCTCGACGGAAGCCAGCCATAACCTGATACTATAGGGGCCTTGGCATTAGACTACGGCCTCGGGCAGATTATACTGCAACCATGATAAGGAAGCCCGAGCAGTAATGCTGAATCACGCTTCTATGCTAGCAGTTTAGGGTATCGGGTGTTGGGCTGAGGGCTTACGACTTGCGCTCGGATTCGCCAACGTGCTAGTTTTTTTGTGTGTGTGTGTGTGTGTCTGTCTGTATGTGTGTGTCTGTCTGTGTGTGTCTGTCTGTCTGTGTGTGTCTGTCTGTGTGTGTGTGTGTGTGTGTGTCTGTCTGTGTGTGTCTGTCTGTGTGTGTCTGTCTGTCTGTGTCTGTCTGTCTGTGTGTGT